AGAGTCCTGGGCCGCGCGGGGCCACCTCAGCCGCGGAGGGCGCGCCGGCTGCTCTTCGCCTTTACGCTCTCGCTCTCCTGCACTTACCTGTGTTACAGCCTCCTGTGCTGCTGCGACGACCTCGGCCAGAGCCGCCTCCTCGGGGCGCCGCGCTGCCTTCGCGGGCCCGGAGCGGGCGGCCGGAAACTTCTCCCAAAGTCCCGCCCCTGCGAGCCTCCGGGACCGGCACCCAGCGCGCCCAGCGCGCCCAGCACGCCCAGCGCGCCCGCCGCCGCCGCCGCCGCCGCGCCGGCCCCTCGCCTCGGCCCTTCCAACCACTCGGGCTCCCCGAAGCTGGGCACCAAGCGGCTGCCCCAAGCGCTCATCGTGGGCGTGAAGAAGGGGGGCACCCGGGCCGTGCTGGAGTTTATCCGGGTGCACCCTGACGTGCGGGCCCTGGGCACCGAGCCCCACTTCTTCGACCGCAACTACGGCCGCGGGCTGGACTGGTACAGGTAAGGGGCCGAGGGGGCACTCCGCGCGCCGCGCCTCCAGGCGCCTCCTCCTTGGAGCCACTCGGGAGCTTTCTTTTCCTTTCCACCCGGCTCGCTGTGTGGGTTCCGGCTGATGTTGGGGGTTTTCTAGCTGTCGGGTTGACCCTGAACTTCTGCGGGATTACCTGGGCGGGGCACGCGGTGTACTGAACTGCAAAAGGGCCTGCCTTCCCAAGCTCGTGCCGAAACTAGAAGGCTGGTTCTGTGTCCAGCCTTTGGGGGGTGCAGCAGGGTGTCCAAGGAAGCGGCAGGCCAAGGTGTGTGGTGCCAAAAAGCGTATCTGCGGATTTCCTTGCCCTGGGCTTCTGAGGGACCCTGGGTCTGGAGAGGCTGGCCAGAGCCCTCTGGCGGCAGGGTGCTGCGCGTGGGTGAGGCCCCATCGTGGAGGCTAAATGAGAGGCAGTCTGAATTTCTCCCTCTCTGGATGAAAAAGGTAACCCTTCTTCCTAGACTCATCCTCAGTTCCAATAACCCTGGGTCGGTTGTCTTGGAGTGGTAGTGGTTGGTGGGGAGGGGACCTCAAAACCGTACATTAAAGGCTCGGCAAGTTCCTTAAACTCTCTGGGCCTCAACTTTCTAATCAATTCAGTGGGCAAGATGTCAGCCCTTGTTCTGCCTCCCTCCCTCGGTCTTTCTAAAGTGCTTTAAAAGTGTGGAAGAGACTCTTTGAACTGGCAGATGCAACAGCTTCGAGGGCACTGCTTGCCTTTAAAGTGTCAAATCGACCCATGTGTGGGCTGGCTGGGTGGTGTATGGGCTCTGCAGCATTTTCCCCTTCACCTAACCCTTTGAAGACTTTCGAGAGATGTCTGCATAGTAGTGGAACGAGCAGGACCGACATGTTAGCCGACCTGATGGTCGAGGCTAATTGTTAGTACTGCCCTTTAGGTAGTAGGAGGGTCCTAAGGGTTTGGGGCAGGTGATAGCAACTTCCTTAGAAGGGCTCCTGTGATGGGCTCATAATAGGAGGCCTTGGATTTGCAAGGAGAAGGGGCCCTAGGGCCAACTTGTCACCCTTGCCCATTAGCCCTGGTCTGCCGTGATGATGGGAATGGGGGTAAGGGACACATAAGGTACCTCCAGTGGAGCCCAGCAGGAGAGAGCTGATCTGGGGGTGGCCTGGCACCATTCTGTCTGGTTAATGTGGCAGGGGTAAGGTGGAGGTTTGGCTCAGTGCCAAGGCCAGTGGCCCTTGGTGCTTTCCAAGTTGTGACCCCAAGCTCCCCATCTGGGTGTTTGAGGACATGGTCTGAACTAGACCCCAGGGCCTATGCGACCAATGCCTTGGCCAGCAGCTCTCGGGAGAGGGGCAGGCCTTGTCGCACTCTAATGCATATTAGGGTTTCCTCGATGGAAAAGCTGAAGAGTATCATGAAACCCTTTGCCAATGTGAAATGTCTTTCAGGTGTAAATTAACAAAATCCCAAGCAGCTGGCTTTTGGATAGGTTAGCCTCTAATAAGCACTTGTTCCCTGGCTTCCCTCTCTCCCTTCCCTGCCCTCCAACGTATCCCAGGCAATCTTCCTGGAACCCGTGTCATTCAGGGATGGCTGCTTTTTATTTTTAACCTTGGCATGTGTGATTCTAAGCCAGCTTAGCTGTGAACCTTAGAGATGGGAGCCATGTCTTTTTTTTTTTTTAGCACATTTGAATTCTGCTAAAATTCTCAGCTGAGTCCTGGTAGGTTTTATTTAACATCAAGCACGCTGACAGCTCCACTTCTTTCTCTGTTCCTCTTCTTCTTTGGGTATGAGTTGCCCTCCTATTCCTGCTCATTCCTGTGTTTATAAAGGAATGCTTCCTTAGCCTTGGGGGCCTGGGTACCATTCTGCATCCCCACGGATGAGCCTTCAGCAACAGCAGGGGTTGTGTAGTTTTGTGCTTTCCAGCCTCCTGTAGCCAAGGATGTCAGTGTGGATTGCCATTTCTGCACAAAGTAGTACTGCCCCATTTGAATGCTGTTTTCAGAATTTTCCGAACATTTCTCCGTGTATCCTTTATCTGTTATGCTCACACAAGTATTTGATTGCAGAAAAGATGTGTGTGTGTGTGTGTGTGTGTGTGTTCTGGACGCCTTTAATATCCAGGTGCTCACTTTATTCCTGACATCCATGAAGTAGGTAGAGCAGATGATACCATATTCCTTCCTCTGCCTACTGCCAAAGGAGCGCATCTGGTCACAAGGCAATTTGATAGCATTTAGGACCTGAGCCGCTGGTATACATCATCCCACAAAGAGACATACACATACGTATGTGTGTGCATGTCGAGCCAAGAGCTCTAGCTGTGGCCAGACCAAGTGTGCACCATGTAGCCAGTGCCTGCAGGGGGAACATGACCAGTGGGCCCTTGTGCCATTGTGGTGAAGAGTCCCTGGTGGGATAACTTCCTGGGCTATGAAACACAAATCCAGAGAGGGAATATTCAAACCAAAACACTTGGCCATCAGCCCACAAAAAAGCCGCCTTCTGTGGGCTGTGGTAGTTGTCGCTGCCATTCAGTCAGCCCTCGAGTCACGCTGACCTCGCATACAATGAAATAAAATGTTTCCCTGTCCTGCGCCATCGCCTGCCAGACTATGGTGATCCATAGGGGTTTGACTGGCTGACATATGGGAGTAGATCACCAGGCCTTCCTTCCAAGGTAGACTCAAATCTCCAGCCTTTGGATTCACAACCAATTGCATAAACCGGTCGTCCCACCCAAGACTCGTTACTGCTATGGCTTCACTCACAACACCTCTGTCATCAGCATCACCACTGGTACTATTAGGACTATCATTTTTGGTTCTGTTCCCTGCTGCTGCTAATGCACTGCAGGCCAGAGGAGATCCATGAAGGAACTTTGAGTTCTATTTTCAACTCTGCCCTTGATCTCCTCTTTCCTTTTCTCCCCTTTCCTTTCTTCCTTCCTTCCATGCTCTCATTTATTTGATAAAAGTCAATGCCACTTTCTTTTCTGGGAGCTAGTTTTCTCACCTTCAAAATGGGAATGATACATGCCTTGGCTTATAGTCTTGGGAAAATCAAATAGGACAATTCACGTGAAAAGGCTTCTCCAGATGTGAAGTTATATTTAGGATGTTGTTGTTTTATCAGGGTTTGGATGTGAGACAAGATCCTCAGGAGCTTTGTATTTCTTTAAAAAGATATAAGGTGTATCTTGTCCTGGGGCTGTGAGAGCCTCCGGGAGAGCTGAATTTTCTCTAAAATGTTCTCAGAGGCCTTTTTTCATTTTAGGGCATGGGGTAGGAGTCAACACAGAGGAAGGGAATCTTCTCTCAAAACCAAACCAAAACTCAATTGCCATTGGCCCAATTCAGACACGTAGTGACCCTACAGGACAGAGTAGAGCTAACTGCCCCCGTGAGTTCCGAGGCTACAAATATTTATAGGAGCAATAGTTGTTACCTGTCTCCCAAGGAGGGGCTGGTGGGTTTGAACTGCTGACCTAATGCGTAAGTCACTACGCCACCCGGGCTCCTTGGAATCCTCTCCACGTGCATGGAAATGCCAACCAGAAAAAGTTAATATAATCTAGTCTGTGCTCTGGTATCAAACTTCTGATGGGTGAGCTTGTTCTAGAAGGTTTACGATCCATCTCACAAACTCTGGTCTTGTCTTCATTCAGCATCACTGGTGTCCTTAAAAACCAAAAACCAGACTCACTGCCATCGAGTCAATGCTGACTCATAGCGGCCGCCTTGAGTTTCTGAGACAGTAACTGTGTACGAGAGTAGAAAAGCCCAGTCTCTCTCCCGAGGAGCGGCTGATGGTTTCAAACTGCTGACCGTGTGGATCGCAGCCTAAGTAGTAACTCCCACACAACAAGCTCTCCTAGAACACCAATGCAAAGAAGACATAATCTTTGCCCCAGAGGCAAGAAGGAAAGTAAGCAAGAAGGAAAAGGGAGGAGGGTACAGAATAAGGACTGTGACATGACCCGTCTTGTGTCAATCAAGAAATCACATTCAAATAGCCAAACCAAAAGATAAGAGGAAGGCACCTTTTGCATGACGTATTTCATGTAGAAGGCAGCACTATTTCTTAACAAACTCACCAACACATGACGCAGAAGGATCCAGGCTCCTGAGATGTGTACCCCATGCATGCCCTCACCTGCACAGTGTGTGTCTGTGCAAACGTATGTCTCTATAAGGAGTTTTCCTGTCTCAGTGCAGATGGATGTCACACATGCTGATTAGATGAAACTACTAAGTCCATAAATCCACCATCGTCTTGTGGCTCCTTGTCAACCTTGCCGCTCACCGGAGATATACTAGTTAGTTCCAAAAAGTGTACAGTTCTTGTCAGGTACCAAGGAACACTCAAAATAGGTGAGTCGAACTGCCATCGCTCAAGGAGGCTTTCTGAAGGGCTGACTGGGCTTTCCCCGGTGCCTAGAGGGATGGCGGGAGAGGCAAGCAAGAAGCATTAATTTCCCCAAAGCCTGCCTCGTGTGGATATTCAGAATCCAAAGCCTGTGGGGATTTTCATCTGACACCCCTTGCTAAAACTGTAGTGGGTGCTCAAATCTGAAAATACCACTAATCATAGATTCTAAGATTTCCCTACATTTTAATATCTTTGTCTTGAGTAAGGGTATGTCTCCCGATTGATGGTGCCTTAGATTCACTGGGATCTGATGAGTTCTTAGTGGTTAGATGCAGCCCCCCCCCCCCTTCTGAAATGCCCTCTGACCGGATACCTGGCTTCCTGGGCTCCTTCTGAGGCCCCCTGAAACATCTAAAGAGCAGGTGACTCCATGGGTAGTGCTTGACCCAGGAGGGAGCCCACCCCCTCTTCTGCTTGGCCAAGGAACAATAGCCAGTTCAGGGTCTTGAATGTGATCTGAGCCTTCACCCTCAATGGTTCTACCCTAACATGAGAGAGAGTGGCAGAATCCCACCAGGAGATGATGACATGCTTTGATGGGCAAGTTCTTTATGGGCACTTGTAGAG